CTTTTATTAGTATGTTCTGGTGATTGTTGTCAGTGAACTTAGATGATATTAAAGAAACAAAAGCAGTCATGGAGATACTATCCAGTGGGGCACGGTGCTTGTTTTCCAAACTTGAAATAATATGTTCAGGTTTGCTTCTGGGAATTCATTGTATTAAAGTCTCCAATATGCCATCTACACTGAAGGGACTGGTTAAATGAACCAGATCTTGTAACTAAATTTTGTGACTGGAGTGTCAGGATGCCGCCCCTGGACCATGGGGTCCATGAATCAGTGTAGTGCGTATGCTGGGAACGTCAACATTAATCCCACAAGTGAAGAATTATATCTCCACGTTGCCTGCAGTATTTGCCAGAGAATCTTGGCAAGATTAGGTGTTGCTGCTTAACTGCTTGAAATGAAAGGGATGATGTCCTTTTTAACCCTTGGCAGACAATTGCACTTACGCATGTCCCTCTTCTGGGAAAAACACGCAATTTTTCACTTCCTCAGAAGAGAGAGAAACACAGGAATAAGTTAGGATTGTGCAGACCCCTCTCTATAATATATTTATCTACATCTTTCCTTCCACACTTTCCATCTGATATTAAGATGAACTGGTAGAGGTGAATATGTCATTATTTTAGGCTTAGCTCATTGCCATCTTTCACAGTTAATGAATTTTTTCAAATCCACTCTTTATTGAGGTAGAATTTGTATACGGTGGAGTGCACAGATTTTAAGTGTGCAGTTCAGTAAGTTTTGACAATTATAGGCAGTACTCTCATGTAACTAATATCCTGAACATTTTCATCACTCCAAAAAGGGTTTTTACCCTCTTTTTTAGCCAATCACCACCCCATCTCTTTGGGAATAACCACCTTTCTTATTTTTATTATCATAGTTTTAGTTGTTTTTGAAGTTTATCTAAATGAAATTGTACAGTATATAGTCTTTTGTGTCTCTTTTACTTAACATAGTATTGAGATTTGATAATATTATTGTATGTATTAGCTTATCAGTTTATTGTGATGTAGCTAATATTAGTCTATGCATACACCATGATTTATTTTTTCCACTTTTCTGCTGATAGACATTTACATGTTCTCATTTTTTGGTAATTATGAATAAAGCTGTAGAAAAAGTCTTAAGCTCCCCTTTTTGTGTCTCTAGGTGCTCACTTCTCTTGAAATCCAAATGATCAATTATTTTCTCTTATGGATAGTAATTGTTGTGACTGGTCTACAAGATCTTTACCTAACCCAAGGTCATAAAGATATTTTCTTCTAGAAGTTTTCAAGCTACAGGCATGAGTTCTATGATGTGCAATGATAGCGTGAATCTTTGAATCCTTGTGAAATTTCCACCTGGCAGTGGAACTGTTGGGCGAGAGCCTAGATCTGTGCTTACCTTTGAAAGAAAGTAGGAGACAGTTTTCTAGCGTGGGTGTTCCCTTTCCTTCTCTCACAGCCAACACATGAGCATCCCATTTGTTTCACACATTCACCAGTATTTGATTGTGTCTGCCTATTCATTCTTGCCATATTAATGTCTTGGCAGAAGTATCTTGTTGTTGGTTTTAAATTCCATATCTTTAAAACTAAAGACATTTAATACCTTTGCATATGCTTCTTAGCCATTAATATCTCTTCTTTTATGAAGTGTCTGTTCAAATCTTTTGTGTATTTTTCTATTTTAAATGTATTTTTGTCTCAACTATTGTTACAAGTATTCTTGGTGTAGTTTGCATACAAGTTATTTTTCAGATAAATATATTAAGAATATTTTTCTTCTGGCCCTGGCTGGCATAGCTCAGTGATTGAGCATGGGCTGCGAACCAAGGTATCGCAGGTTCGATTCCCAGCCAGGGTACATGCCAGGGTTGCAGGCCACAGCCCCCAGCAACCACACATTCATGTTTCTCTCTTTCTCTTTCTCCTTCCCTTCCCTCTCTAAAAATAAATAAATCTTTTTAAAAAAGAATATTTTTCTTCCATTCTGTGGTTTGCCTATTCATTTTTTTTAAATTACATGTTTTGGTGAGTAGAAGATTTAATTTTTTTATGAAATCCAAATTATTTTCTCTTACAGAATAATTTTTGGATCTGGTCTAAGAAGTCTTTTTCTACTCCAAGGTCATGAAGATATTTTCTTCTAGAAGTTCTATAGTGTTAAGCTTTAGGACAATGATCTATCTTGATTAATCATCTTGATTTAATTTTAGTGTATGGTGTGAGCTAGGTGTTAAAGTTTTTTCCAGATGGCTATCCAGGTGCTGAAAACTTTCCTTGCTCCATTGAACTGCTTCAGCATCTTTGTCAAAAATCAAGTGACCAATTAGTGTGACTCTGCTTCTGGATCCCATTCTATTCTTTGATTTACTTTTTTATCCTATCCTATACTCTCTGGATTAGCGGCATGAGTTTTATCATTTTTTTTTTAGGTTTGTCCCTGTAATTGTGGCTACTTTTATGCCCTGCAGGTAGGTTATTAGGTTCAGAGTTTATTTTTGAAGTCACTACAAGGTCCAAATTGCTCTGGATATGAGTGTCTCTGTATAAGATAGGAGAAATAAGAACTCCCTTATTGGATTGTTGGGAGAGATAATCTAGTATGCCCTTAATATATATTATAATTCTAAAATAATAATTGTATGTTTAGAATGTTGCATATTTTGATTCAGTTTTTTGTTTTCCTTAATCTTAAGATGAATAATATCATTTATGTTTACTGAAATCTCCAAAAAGGGTATGTGCCCTCAGTTTTAGATTGTGGGGACACCTAGTCTGTGGATTTAGGGGGAAAAGATCTAAGATACTCATAATCATGAGTGATGGGTACCTGATTCCTTTCTACTTACAAGAAACCTAGTCTAATGATAATGGTGATTCTTTCTGGCATTTCTCTTTTGTCTGTTTTTTAAAAAGACAGAGCTACTAGAATTCTAATGCTTTATTCTTCCAGACCTTTCTCATTCGATCTTTCTTTGCTGTGCCAGCTACTCATTGCTGAATGAATGACCTTTGCTCTCCCTAACCAAAATCAATGGCCTTTTAAACTGTTTTAATACCTACTAAGGAACTACTTGTCCCAAAGTTGGGTACAGGTTTCCTGATAGATTTCTTCATAGGCTGAAAATGGTGGTGAGGAGCAAGGCTCAAAGTCTGAACCCTTCTCTTTACCCACACTAAAGCAAGCCAAATAATAATAATTCTTCCTCTTCCACACTCATTTAAGAGCAAATAACAAAGATGTATATAAAGTATAAATTCTTTCACAACCTTTTTCCTGTTATTACCCTAGTTCATACCCCAATTTTCATTCTCATTTCTAAACTGAAATCTTTTCTTTCTCAAGTTTAGTGGCAACTTTTTACTTTTGGGGAATCTTGTGTTTACTAGATTGAAACTCCTCGAGCACAATTATTTGATTTTATTTATCTTAGTTTCAGATTGTAGCATCCAGCTGAAAGCATTGTATTTATTCCCTAAGTGCCTGTTGTAGTAAATTTATTCCAATCAAGTGCTGATGTTGTACCAAAGACAGTGTCATATATATAACAGACAGGCATAGTTTATTGATAGCAGGGACTCAGTATTTATTCATTGATCAGTTAAGTCTGAATATGTTTTATAACTGAGTATCAGATGAATCAGGTACTCCTTTTCTTTTCAAAAGCATGTTAGAACTGCTCATCTGGAACTCCGTAGAGCAAATTGTTTAAGTTACAGCTGTCTGTACCCTTTTCTGTAACATTAGCCATAAGATTGGGGCCATATCCTCATAATAAATGAAAGGGTCTTTTAAATGCTTGTAATACAGAAGTCCTGTGGTGAGAATTCCAAATAGACTTATCTCAAATTCCGTCCTATTTCAGTTAGTGTTACAGCCAGATTCCCATGTACTTTAACAAGACAGGTGGATAAATATAATTTTCAAAAAATACAGACATGGAAATGAAGCGCTAATGTCTTCTGATGTTAGATTTTCCAATACACCTACTGATATGCTTATGCAGAAATTATTCCCAGGCCTGTGATTAATTCCTTTTTCCTAGAGCAAACCACTAAGTCTTACTTTCTTTTTGGGTAGAATTTGGACTTGGCTATAAAATCTAAGAACTAGTTCCGGGGACCCCTGTTAGAGCTTACAGGAGGTAATATTACAACCAAAAAGAAAAAAAAAAACTGGTAGCATACTACACATAGCAGGTGGTAAAAATGTAGGGAGTATTACCAGGAGAGAAGTAACATAGATTGAAAGCATAAATCCCTGAACATTTTTAGATAAACCACAGTAGCTAGATCCATAAATATTGTTGTGGGGTTAGGAATCTTGAAAATACCCTTAATGTAGATATTGATGTTACAATAAATATGCCTTCTAGGACATTCCCCTAAATGTCCCTGTAAAAACTATACTAAACTGATTGTGTAGTGAACTCAACTAGAATAATCTCCACTTCCATTTTTGATTCTGAATATAAGAGGATAGAGTGAGGAAGCAAGTTGTCTGGGATTACAGATTTGGAATAATCTAGGCGATCTTTACTAAATGTTTACAGGTGTCAATGGCAGCCTTTGCCTTGTCCGGGTGCAGAGAAAGTGAAATTCAAAGGAACTTAACGTTATTGGTGACTTCTAATCAGTATTCCCTCCCTTTGCCCCGCCCAGAGATTTAAATTTTCTATAAAGCTTTTAATGCTTTCAAGATTCAACATTAAGGTCTTTTTACTTTGTTCCCAATTAAATAAAAGTTAACGGCTTTGGCCTTGCTTTTCCATACTTGAAATGTTGGAGGCTACGGAGTTTCTAGACAATCGCCAATGTATCCGCCCCACTGAATGGGAGAAATGGCAATTCAGGACGCAGAGCTGCTTCAGGCGCCAAATACGAGGGTTCAAAAAAGAGAACCCGCAGGCAGAGGTTACTCCAGGAAAGAACAATCCGGCGATTTAGGGGAGGGGCTTGGCGAGGCTGGGAGTCACGCTTTCCGTGCTGAGAGCAAATTAATGGGAAATTAGGCAAAGTGGGCGTGGCGCCTGCGTCAGGTCCTGGCGGGCGTATAGTGAAAGTCCCCTCATTTCAGCCACTTGCCTGCTGGGACAGGTTTGCTGCCTTGCTCCTGCTGTGATCTACGGTGCGTGTCGGGGAGGGGACGCGGAGGGAGGCGCTGTGGTGAGTGTGACGGGTGGGTAGGGGTGAGGTTGGTTGCGGGTGTAGGCTTGAGGGGTCCCTTGTCAGCCTGCAACTTGACTTCGCTTTTTCAGTGGTCTCTCCTGAGATTTATTCTCATCCATTTGGAAAGTATTCCCTCGAACCTTTGGGGGAATAAAAAGTACCTGCAAGTTGTAGCACTGTATATGAAGTCTCTGCAGTTTAAGCAACTTCTCTTCACCCTAAGGGTGTAAAATGCTGAAGTGACTCTATTGCGTGGTCAAACTGGTGTTCTTCCTACTGAAAGACGGGACTTGTCCTCTCTGTTCACAAAGTCCCTTTGTTAGGCACGAGAAACATCAGCAAGTTTAAAATAATAATAGCAACAACAACAACAATAATAACAACAAAGTGCAGGAGAACATGGATTAGACACGGTGATAATGTAATAATTAAATTAAAACTTCAGTAAGACATGGATTAGACCCTGTGATAAGAATGGAACTCCCTAGAAGACTCTACACCCTCCATATGGAGGAGGGAGCCATGTGGGAGTAAAAGAGAAAGGGAGTTTCTTTGGGAGTGGAGGCCTCAGATATTATTGCTATCTTGGGACCTGGGTGGTGGAGAGAAAGGTGTCTACAATTTCCCTGCTTCCTCTGAAATGGCTCCAAGCCTTCTTGGTAGTCCTGGCACTCCTATTTTGTCCTTTACCCTGTCCCTGCTTTCTCTCTAAGGGAGTGCCAAGTAGGCTCCAATCAAGCATTCTTATACAGCCAGAGGGAAACTTCCCCCTGGACCAGCTAACAGCCTGGAGTTCTCAGGGCTCTAGTTTGCTGTGAATACCAAGCTAGATACACCTTTTGCATCCCCAGTGGGTTTACAACCTGGGAGTTAGGCTGATTTGGGGGCTTTGCTGTCCTCTGCCTTGTCCAAAATAAAAGGCCTATTTGTATTAACCATTTTTGGTCATTTCTTAAAATTGGCTTCCATTTACATATTGGTCTCCGTGGCAGACAAACAGTTCTTCTAAGGGTTTGTTTTAGGAGTGGAGTTCTTTAATCATTGAAGCTGGCAAAGGAAGTCAGCACAGTCCCCTGAGAACAGCTTCGGCCCACATCCCCCCAGAGCCACCAACATTCTCCTGGTAGCCCCTGGGCTCTGCAGTTTAGGAGGCCAACTCTACAGTTACCTCAATCCCATCAGGAAATTCTAGAACTCAAAAACAGCAACAAAGGACATGGATTATCTTTTTTCCTAATCCACGGATAGTGTTCTGTCGGTTTCAGAGAGTACAAAATTGCAGAGTCATGCCCCAAGGGACTGTATGCCCAGCTTTTCTGTGCATTTCACAATATTGACGGAGAGAGGCCACCATGAAGGAAAGAGCTTTGCTCTTTTTGGCCAAGAACCTGTACAGAGAAGAGGAATATTCCTCAGTTGAGAAATGAAGACTCAACTGTGATGGGGTGGGGCAGGGAAGGGCAAGATAGGAAAGGAATCTGACAGAAAGTTCTCCTAAAAGACCAGAGCAATCTTGAATTGTTAGCCTGAAGGTAGATAAAATCACTAGTTAAACATCTGAGAAAACTGGGTTCTAGTGCTGTTCCCTCAAGTGTGAATTTGTTCAAATTAGTCACTATCTCTCTGGGCCTCAGTTTCCTTATGTGTTAAAGGCGGAGACAAGTATTTGCTCTGACTATAGTGGAGTTTTCCAAATCAAGTGAGATAACGTGGAGGCTTGAAAACTCTGATATTTAATGTTCAGTGCCTAGAACAGGGCCAGAGTGGGGACTTATTTATTGACCCAATACGTACAGAGAGCTTCCCAGGTCCCAGGACTTTTCTAAGTCCTTTACTCATTTAGTCCTCACAAGGTTCTGTGAGGTAGGAAGTATTATTAACTTCATTTTACAGGCAAGGTAAGTAGTCCCCAAAGAAGTTAAATCACGGCTCATAAGTGACAGAGTCGAGATCCACCTGAACTCCAGAGTCTGTGTGTGCTCAACACTCCGCTCTTTGTCCTCTCAGAGGCAGTCACCTCCAAGTTAGGGGACTGGGCCCTGCTCTCTGGTGAGACATATTATGGTATTCTCTGTCATGTCAACCCATGATGGCCAATAAAAGCAACAACATGCTAGACACTGTAATAATTTTTTTCTATAATTTATAACCAAGTTTTGTGTTTTGCTCTGCTTACTTAGATTATTTCTACCTCATTCTTCAAATACTCAAGTCCTCTCATACTTGACCCTCTTATTATTACTACTATACTGTGCTCTTTCCTCCTGGTGACTTTTTTCTGGTAAAAAGCTTTCAATAATTTTGCTTTGAGTATAGTGCCCAACCATGCTGTGGGGTCAAGGCAATTTAGTGGCAAATCAACTTTGGAAAAAAACAAGCCAAAAGTAGCAGCACCTTATCTCATGCTGTATATAAATGACTCTGATTTCGTAATATCTTACCTTTACTCCTGGTCACTTGGCCCTTGGGTGTGTTGGGACTGGAAGATGTTGTTCCCAAAGAGGAGGAGCTCAGAGGCTCAGCATTGGCCCATCTCCCAAAACCGCAGGCCAGAGAAGTGAAGCCACATTTTTGGTGATTGAGAAACTCTCTGTGTGAGGTGCACTTGCACATTTATTTTTTTAAATTATATCTTATTGATTATGCTATTACAGTTGTCCAATTTTTCACACTTTTCCCCCTCCACCCAGGACCCTCTCACTCCCTCAGGCAATTTCCACACTTTTGTTCATGTCAATGGGTCGTGTGTATAATTCTTTGGCTACTTCATTTCCTATACTGTACTTCACATCACCATGGCAATTCTGTAACTGCCTGTTTATGCTTCTTAATTCCTTCAATTTTTCACCCATTCCTCCAAACCCTCCTCTCATTTGACAACCATTAAAACACTCCCTGTATCCATAGTTCTCTTTCTGTTCTTCTTGGTTGCTTAATTTACTTTTTGGGTTCAGTTGTTGATAGATATGTAGTTACTGCCATTTTATTGTTCATAGTTTTGATATTTTTCTTAAATAAGGTTTCTAATGTAATAATGTTTTGGTGATGATGAACTTCTTTAATTTTTTCTTGCGTGGGAAGCTCTTTATCTGCCCTTTGATTCTAAATAATAGCTTTGAAGGATAGAGCAATCTTGGCTGTAGATTTGTGCTTTACATGACTTTGAATATTTCTTGCAAATCCATTTGAGCCTACAAAGTTTCTTTTGAGAAATCAGCTGACAGTCTTATGGGAACTCCCCTGTAGGTAACTACTTTTCTCTTGCTGCTTTAAAGATTCTCTCTTTATCTTTAACCTTTAGCATTTTAATTATGTGTTTTGAGGTGGGACTGTTTGTGTCCATCTCGTTTCAGATTCTCTTTGCTTCCTGGACTTGCATGTCTATTTCCTTCACCAAATTAGGGAAGTTTTCTTTTATTATTTTTTCAATTAGATTTCCAATTTCTTATCCTCCTGCTCTCCTTCTAGCACCCTTATAATGTGAATGTTGGAGTGTTTGAATTTGTCTCAGAGACTTCTGACACTATCTTTGTGTTTTTTTTATTCTTTTTTCTTGTTGTTCTGATTGATTGTTTATTGCTTCCTTATGTTCCACATCATTGATTTGATTCTTAGCTTTATCCTCTGTACTGTTGTTTTCCTATAAATCATTCTTTATTTCAGTAAGTGAATCATTTGTTTCTGACTGGATCTTTTTCATGCTGCTGAGGTCCTCACTAAGTTCCTTGAGCATCCTTACTTATAACCAGTGTTTTGAACTCTGTATCCAATAGACTGATTGTCTCCATTATGTTTAGTTCTTTTTCTGTTTTGATCTGTTCTGTCATTTGGACCATGTTTCTTTTTTTCCTCATTTTTGGCAGCCTCCCTGTGTTTGTTTCTATGTGTTAGTTAGAGATCATATGACTCCTTTAGTGGTGTTGACCTAATATAATAGATATCCTATAGGGTCCAGTGGCACAGCCTCCTCTCTCACCCAAGTTGGGTACTTGAGGTGAGCTCTTTGTGTGGGCTGAGTACATCTCCTCTTGCAGTTTAGCCTTCATTGTTGTTGGCAGGTCAATGGGAGGGATTTACCCAGGCCATTCAGCCTAAAGAACTGGCTGTGACTACTGACCACCAACCCCTATCCTCATGAAAGATCAGCCGTGCAGGGGCAAGGTGGTGGTGCTACAATGTGGTCTGTGGCTGTTTCTTGGCTATACAGGCTGTGGAGTTTCCTGGGTGGTACAGGCCAAGGTTAGCTACCACCTGTATTATGCCCGGTGCCACACAGCATGAGCTACAAAGGAATCTGCAGATGGCTGCTACTTGTGCTCGGCTAGGAGGTTCCCATGGGAAGCCAAACTGTGAACCTAGGCTGGCTGTTACTTTTGGTATGCTTGGGGCCACTTAACAATAGGTATGGGGTCTGGGGGCTCACTGAGTCTGGCTGCTACTTGTTTAAAGGATTTAGAAGATATGAAACAAACACGAAGACAAGTCATTCATATGGAAAACCCACTGTTAACAGCTTAGGTGGGCCTGTAAACTGGGTGGGACAGAGCCTCAGGGAATCACTGGGGCAGGGCAAACAGTGTAACCCAGGTTTTTGGAGTCTCAGAAATGTACCTACCTTCCAGTTCTGTGGCATTATGAGGGGAGGGTTCAGAAAAGGAACAATGGCCTCTGCCCACTGTTCTGTCTGGGAGAACACTGTCCCCCAGCTTTTGCTCTGATACCAGACACTGCATTTCCTCCCTGTATGTCACTGGTGCCTTTCAAACTGCTACCTTGGTGCTGGAGCTCAGAGGGAGTGAGTCTGAATAAATCTGTATTTGGGTCCCTTTAGAGGAACTAACTGCCTGGGAATCCAGCAATTTCTTTCACTGACTCAAATCCCATTGGTTTTTGCAGCCAGAAGTTATGCAGACTTATCTTCCTGGCACTGGAACCCTGGGCTGGGGGACCTTGCATGGGGTGGAACTCCTCGTTCCTGAGATATCCCTCTTGAAATTTTATCCACCACATATGGGTGTAGAACCAGCTTGTTCCTCATCTCCTTCCCTTCTACCAGTCCAGATGGAAGTGGCTTCTTTAATTCCGTAGTTGTTGGACTTCCATTCAACTTGATTTCTGATGGTTCTGAGTGATATTTGTTCTACAGTTTAGTTTTAATTTTGATGTGGTTGTGCGAGCAGGTGAACCATGTTTACCCGTGCTTCCATCTTGACCAGACATCCCTGCACTTTCACATTTAGAGAAGAAACTTCCCATTGCTGGTTTTCTCCAGCTGTTGGCATCTGTGTGCTCTTTCCCCACCAACAGTTCTGGAAGTCTTCCACTTTTTCTCTACTCTTTCCATACTAATTTTCACCAAGAGAAAAACATTCCCCAAAGTTTTATTCCATTGCTAAATAAAATTTCATTCTGGGGACATTAGCAGAGAGACCTACAGAAACTGTTGTAGTTTAAAAATTATTGTTAAATAGCAACACTCCCTACTTGATAAACTTTTCTTCATTTTTAAAAAATTAACTTCATCACAGTTTCAGATCTCTCTCCAGAAGCATAAGACTTAGGGATCCCTTAAATTAATTACTTTACTTGAACTCTGAAGGACACAGCAGCTCATTCATGATTTTCACCCCTCAGTACTGGAGCAAGTGCAGATAAGTTATATGTTTCCAAAAGTATTTCTTTGCACAGAGCATTTATCTGACATACTGTCCTTTCAAGACTACTGACTTGTGGACATGAGTTAATTTATCATACATATTTTGTTTTGTTTTTAAGCCAGAGTATATAATTTCTGTTTGCCTAAATCTAAGGAGTGCATTTTTTGGCTTACCCTTTAAAATAGGAGTTACTTAGGAAGCTTTGTTTTACCTGCAAAATGGGAATAATAGTACCCACCTTGTAGTGTAATGGGAAGAGGAAAGAAGATAGAAGATGTAAGGGGTGCCAATAGTGCCAGCCCGAGAGTACACAGTCAGTGTTAGTTGAATCAGAATTAAGCCATCTGCAGTCTCTTGAAGGAGACAGTGCAGTGTGGTTTGCATATGAGATAAGAGGTCAGAGATGTGGGATTACACTCCAGCTTGGCTGCTTAACCTATTTAATTCCCATTTTCTTCAAATGTAAAAGGGATCTAGTTGTGAGAATTATAATGTTATAATTACAAAGATTACATGGAGCAATGCACATAAAGCACATGGTATCATTGGACTCATAGTTGATGCATAAAATTATATGTATATTGTACACAGTTAGTATCACATTCATCAGTAGCAGTACTAGTGTAGAGAAAGATACCTGGATTTATAGATTATGGTAGATGGATAAAATGATTAGAATCTGACAGAGGTCATTCTAATAACATTGCATGCAAGGGCTGAATTTTCGAGGCAGGAATGAATTGTAGTTGGCTAGAAGCAACTACACTTCATGCTAAGCAGCTTAAATAGCATTTTAGCTTGGGTGTGAGAAAAGATGAAAAAGATAGAAAAAGCAGATAGGAGCAATGATAATGAAACACAAAGAAGTTAAATAATTCATGACTTTCAGATAATGCAAGGAGTTTAAATTTTAAGATTTACCCTAAATTCCTACCCACTTTGACTTCAGTATCACCACTGTGCCTTAGCTTTCCTCCTGAGCACATAGTTACATTCAATTTACTCTGTCTATCTTTTAGATGGAAGTAGAACCTGAGGAATTATGTAAAGCTAATCCTCCTTTCCTTCTTTCTACGATGAAAGTACCATAAATGCCAAATTTTCACCTTGCACTTTGCAAGCCTATCTTATGTCTGGCTACATTATCCTGCTTCTTCTTCACATGTGTTGGTGTGAATGATGACCATGATCATGGTGAGTGATGATTGTGATAAGAATATAATAAACTTTATTGAGGATTTTCACAGGCCAGGTGTGCTGTGCTAACTGTATTCCACATGTTATCTCAATTACATCCTAACAACAGCCCAATGAGCTAGGATTTATTACTAGACCCATTTTATAAATGAAGAAGTTTAGCCTTAGAGTGGCCAAATCTCTCAACCAAGGTTCATGATCAAATGGTGATAATGGAATTTAGTTTCTGAGAACTTAAAAATTACTGAAATGACAGAAAGCTAAGAGTCTGATTTCTAAAGTTTGAGGCATTCCTGATCAAACATTAATGGTACTACTATGGACATACCGGTTGGGTTACTTTTGAAGAACTTAGTCCATGAACTCTGATCTTTTGTGTCCAACTTGTGGCTCATCTTCATGTATGGCTTTAATTTATCTTTACAGCATTTTGCCTATTTATTTTGCCTTATAATGCCCACTACATGTTCATTTTCATTCTACTTGTTTGAAGTCTTCAAACTTAATGACATAGGACCAGAAAAAAGTAATACTATTCATTTTGAAATTTTAGAAAAACTAAATGATTATTTCTTCTGCAAGTAATCCATGATACTTTAAAGAACATTATGGTTAGTACTGCAATATCAGCACATCAAATTACCATGAAGATATTTGGGATATTTATGTCTTCTTTTTCTTATCTTATCGACAACCTTTTTAAAATTCCAGATCAAAGTTGAAAAAATGGTTGGCATTACCCAGCTAATGGAAGATAAAGTTCTCATGGCCTTTGCTTCCTATGCAACAATTGTTCTTTCCAAAATGATGTTTATGAGTACTGCAACTGCATTCTACAGATTGACAAGAAAGGTAAGAAATTTGAAGGATATATTGTCTTACTTTTAAGGGTTGAAATTCTGAAAAGCAATTTTCTTAATTTACATTTTTTTTGTATGCTGCAATGGCACACTGTTTAGTGTTGCAAATGAAGTATGCAATCATTTGGTATAGATGCAGTTAATATATTTTATGAAACAGGTGCTTTCCCCCAGAAACTAGTAAAAATTTTTTTGATTGTGGATTTTACCTTTTGTCATGGTGCTTCAGCATATATATGGGATTTCTGGAGAATCAAAGTTTTCAAGGAAACTATCTATGATTTTGAAGTTAATTTTGCCAACTAGAGTTTGTAAAATAGTCATTTTCCAGATAATTAACTGGTGTTTTCAGCTCTGTTACAGGTCAGGGATACACATTTAGGGACAAAATTAAAGTTTATATTCCCACAGTAGAGCTTCTTGTGGAACAAGGCATTTTGATTCTGTATACTTCTGACTTCGAAAGGGAATAGTATTGCTACCCAGTGTTATAAGAATGATTTAAAAGAAAACTGGAGGCATGGAGAAAGTGGCAGAAAGATTGGGAGCACATACTCTATATTCCAGCGAGGGGTATGACACAGTGAGGGGGGTTGAGCAAATCTACCTTGACAAAGTTAAATGATTTTCATTGGTGTGGCCCCTGTACCCTATTCAGCATTTCTTTCTCTTTTTTTGGAAAACCAGTTATTTCTCTCTGAATGCTTGTCCTGAATTTTGTCCTTCAGAGCCTTGCTTTTATCTGGAGGTCATAGTACTTGCTAAGGTATTCCATTGTACTGTCTGGAGGTATAATTCCTTCCCCAGAGATATTTGCATTTTAATGGGGCACATACCCACTTGTTGAAATCTCTAATGGGACAAGGTGTTGGAGCAGCAGGCTATAAAATAGCTGCCTACCACCAGGTCCTCACTGTCCTCCAGAAACATAGTGGCACCAAGGATAGAAGAAATGTGCTCTGTCTTATAAGGAAAGAACGAAGGAATTCATATTTGTAGAGTGCTGGTGATGTGTGCCAGGAGTCACGATGCCCTTCATATGTACCAGATCATGGAATCGTTCACGCAGTTGTTAGCACTGTCAGGTGAGATCCTCATTAGTGTCCTCATTTTACAGCTGAGGAGCTGAACATTCGAGGAATAAAGTAGCTTGCCCAAGGTTTCATGTCAGTGAAGGGTGAGGTTAAGGATTAAATTTATATTTGTTTAAACTCAAATCTCATACACTTTCCATCATATTACAATTATTTACTTGCTCAAAATATATTCATTGGCTGACTATCTAGTGGATGCCAGACATTTATTTAGGAATAAGACTGACATCAAGAGCTGATACTGTATCACATTCCTGCCCATCAGTCTCCTCAACATCTTTATCTGGAATAAATATTCATGTTATATTAAGAAAAATATTGTAATATTTATGAGGTTACTGAGCTTAAGTTAAGGCTAATTTTATAGTTTGTGTTTTTATTTATTCACTATAAATTATTAAACAATGGACCATACTTAAATGTTTTTTAAGCACATGTTTCAAGTTTCAAGGAATAGGGACATCATTTCAAACAGCATAATAATTACAGAAAGAAATACACAAACATGTAAGGTCTGTCCAGAAAAAGTCCGGCCATTGTTAATACAACAAGACTGGTTTGTGTGACATCGATATAACCTGGTAACCAAGGAGCATAGACTGGAATGCGCATGCATGAACAACAACGACCTCACTGTACTACTCTGTAGGGATGGTAGATGCTGTTGAGTGAACATGTGTAGTGTGTGGCCATCACATTCAAAATGACTGAGTGAGTAGGGCAATGAGTCTGCATCATATTTTGCATTAAGCTTGAATGTTTCTCCGTGGAAACTATTCAGATTCAGAAGGCTTTTGGGGACTATGCAATGAATGCAATGCAAATAAAAGTGGCACAAGTGCTTCAAAGATGGTCAAGAATCTGTTGCAAGAGATCCGTGTTCCAGAAGACGTGCAATAAGCAAAACACTTGAGAATGTTGAACGCATACAGGCTACAATCAACAAAGATCAGCGACTGACAGTGTGAGAACTAGAAGCTGAACTGGGGGTTTCAAAAACTACTGTGTCTGAGATTTTGATGCAGGACCTTGGCATGAAACATATCGTGGCAAATTTCTCTCCATGGCTTCTCCTACCAGAGCAGAAGGAACATCGGGCTTCAGTTGCTAATGACATGATTCAAACCACTACCAATGAACCAGATTTTCTCAAAAGGTCATAATCAGAAATGAATCGTGGGTCTACAGCTATGCATGTGATCTGGAAACAAAGGCCCTGTCATTCTAATGGAAGTTGCCTAGCACTCCAAGCCCAAAGAAGGTATGAAAAAGCCACAGCAAGATCAAGATCATGTGAAGTGTTTTTAAAGAATTTTATTTATTTACTTTTAGAGAGAGGAAAAGGGAAGGAAAAAGAGAAGAAGAGAAACATCAGTGTGTGGTTGCCTCTTATGTGTCCCTTTGTTGGGGACCTGGCCCTCAACCCATGCATGTGCCCTGACTGGGAATCCCACTGGCTACCCTTTGGTTTGCAGGCTGGCATTCAATCCACTGAGCCATACCAGCCAGAGTTTTACTTTGATTTTTGATTGGGAAGTGTTGTCCATCATGAGCACACCTCTCCAGGTTGAACAATTAATGAGTTCTAACTCCATGTTCTTTGTTGGCTGAGAGATGCAATATAATGAAAATGGCCACAGCTATGGGCGACTGGTGACTGGCAGCTTCAGCACAACATACTTGCTCATGCATCACATCTCCTGCAGAGTTTTTTGGAGAAACATCAAATCACTCAGGTGATTCAGCCCCCCTACAGCCTAGATTTGGTGTCCTGTGACTTCTGGCTTTTCTCAAAACTAAGATCACCTTTGAAAGGGGAGAGATTTCAGACAGTTGGTGAGGTTTAGGAAAATACACCTGGGCAGCTGATGGCAATTGGGAGAACTGTGGGAGGTTCCAGGGTGCCTCCTTTGAAGATGACTGAGGTGTCATTATCCTGTGTACAAAGTTTCTTGCATCTTGTATCTTCTTTAGAGTCTCTATTTTTCATAGTATATGCCTGGATACTTTCTGGCCAGACCTCCTGTGCCCTAGAACATATACTTGGTATTTATAGGAATGAAATCAAGTTCTTATGTTTCACTATATTATTAATCCAAAGTTTCGGTTAAATAAAAGGAAAAGAAGTACATATATCTTAACAAAGTACAAAAGACATTTCCTTCCCCTTGCTCTTCTAATTTCTTTAGCAAGTAAACCTATGATTTCAGATACACAATCAGTTGGAAATGTTAATGCTCTTGACAGAAGGTGCATGAAAATCACCATGAAAAGATGCCAGTTCACCATACTTATAGTCAATGATGACTTTCAATTGTGCCCTCTTTTCCATTTTGCTTACTTTTCACTATTTTTATACATTGGTTTTTATTTAAGTTCTTATTTATGCTTTTCAAAAAAATTTTGCAGTGTTAATAAACATTCACATTTAAACTACAGATGCTCTTTTCTCCCTGTGTTTGGCCTATTGCTCCAAATTTTCTTTTTGTAGGGCCATTCTGGATGCCTGTTTCTTCTGTTAAAATGAAAATAACTTAGAATATCATGATGTTATCTGGTATTTGAAATATTTTTTTGGTGTTTGGAATAGGTTTTTGCCAACCCAGAAGACTGTGCAAACTTTGGCAAAGGAGAAAATGCCAAGAAATATCTTCGGGTAGATGACAGAGTAGAACGTGTGCGAAGGTAAGCCCACTGTCTCCTGAAGTTCTTTACTTGGTTGACTATTTTTGGTCAAAGAGTTCAGTGAGGGTATTGGAGTATTGCACATGAAGGAAAAAAATGTTAGTCCATATAATAATTGCAGAAAATTAGGGATCTAGAAGTCTTCAACTATCACTGCAGTTACACTGATTGCCAATTTTGCTATACTCTGCACTTTTTTGGGGTTAATAATGACTTTGGTCTGTGCAGGTATATATCAAAACTAATGATAGGTACAAGTAAAATAATAAAGGTAGATTTTTGCAGTTTTGTTGCCTTTCTCCAGAGGTGAGACTGTCAACTTAGGTAAAAGGATGAAGAACTAGGTGTTTTGCATAAGACTCAAAATATTCATGTGGGATATATCTCTGTCCTCTCTCTGCGTTGTAGACATTATGTTTAATGTACTGCGAATTCAATGAACAGTGAAAAGCAATAAGCCATGATATCATCTACACAGCTTCTTAAAAGTACAATTAATGAACTTATTTTAAAAGCACACAGAATCTTACTCTGCAGGTATATTTCTTAATTCTTGTCATAAAGTCAGATAAATGAAATGTTTTTTTCAGCTTTACTGAGGTGTAATTGGCAAATAAAATTGGAAGAAATTTAAAGAATACAACATTAGGCCCTGACCCATGTGAAGCAGTTGTTTGGGCATTGTCCCTCAAGTGATTGGTTGCCACTTGATTCCTGGTCAGGGCACATGCCTGCGTTGTGGGTTTGGTCCCTGGTCTGGGTGCGTATAAGAGGCAACCAATCTTATGTTTCTCTCTCACATCTCTCTCCCTCTCTTGCTCCCTTCCCCACTCTCTAAGAAAAATATATAACTATTAAAAATAAAGCATACATTATGATTTGATATACATATTCATTTTGAAAGTTCTTCCTATCAAGTAATTTTAGCATATTTATCACCTCATATATTTACCCCTTTCCTTTTTGTGTGTGAAAACATTTAAGTTCTACTCTCAGCGAATTTCAACTATATAATACAATGTTATCAGCTTTGGTCACCATGTAAACTTAGACCTTATGTTTTAACTGAAAGTTTGTACTCTTCTACAAAATTCCCATTACTACCTGCCCCACCTCAAACCCTGGCAACCACTTCTCTATTTCTATAAGTTTGATTTTTTCCCCTTAAATTTACCCCATATAACTAATATCATACATTTGGTTTTCTCTCTCTTGCTTGTTTTACTTAGTATAATGCCCTCAGGTTTACTCAAGTTGTTGCAAATGACAAGATTTCCTTACTTTCCTTTTTTTGTTAATATTATTTATGCTTAATTTATTATTTTTAAAAGATTTAATTTTTAAGTATATTTTATTGATGATACTACTACAGTTGTCCCATTTTTTCTCCCCTTTATCCCCCTTCACCCTGCACCCTCCTCTCTCCAGCATTCTTCCCCATTAGTACATGTCCATGGATCATGCATATGAGTTGTTTGGCTTCTCCATTTCCTACGCTATTCTGAACCTCCCCCTGTCTATTTTGTACCTACTGATTATGCTTCTTATTCCCTGTACCTTTTCTCCCACGCTCCCCCTTCGCCTCCCCACTGTTAACCCTCCATGTGACCTCCATTTCTGTGATCTGTTCCTGTTCTAGTTGTTTGCTTAATTTGTTTTTGTTTTTTAGGTTCAGTTGTTGATACTTGTGAATTTGTTGTCATTTTACTGTTCATAGTTTTGATCTTCTTTTTCTTAGACAAATCCCTTTAACATTTCATGTAAGGGCTTAGCGATTATGATATCCTTTAACTTAACCTTGTCTGGGAAGCACTGGATCTGCCCTTCCATTCTAAATGACAGCTTTGCTGGGTGGAGTAATCTAGGTTGTAGATCCTTGCTTTTCATGACTTTCAGTACTTCTTTCCAGCCCCTTCTTGCCTGTAAGGTTTCTTTTGAGAAATCAGCTCTAGTGTTATGGGAACTCCTTTGTAGGTAACTGTTTCCTTTTCTCTTGCTCCTTTTAAGATTCTTTCCTTATGTTTAATCTCCCCCCACTGGGAACCTGGCCTGAAACACAGGCATGTGCCCTGACTGGGAATTGAACCAGCCACCCTTCGGTTCACAGGCCAGCACTCTGTTCACTGAGCCACACCAGCTAGGGCTGTTTTTTGGTTTTCAAACTGGTTGTTATCCTTTTTTTCTGGTTGTTCAAGGAAGGGAAGTGTTATCTACTACCCCTCCATCTCAGCCAGAAGGATTTCCTTTTTAAGGCTGAATAATATATCACTGGAGGTATATACCGCATTTTCTTTACCCATTCACCCATTGCCAGAAAGAGGTTCTTTCCACAACTTGACTGTTATGAATAATACTGCAATGAACATGGGAATGCACACATCTCTTCAAGATGATGCTTCCTTTTCCTTTGCATATATACCCGAGTGGGATTGTTGATCACATGATAGCATGGTCAGCAGGAATGAGGTTCTTTCATGTGATGTCAAGGAAGTATTCCAAGGACCCATGCACGGGTGATTGCGGTGCGGCAAGGTTTATTCATGTGGAGATAAAAGCTGCTCTGAGAGTTTCCAATGTCCTGTCTCCATCTGTCCTGCCACAGAAAAAGTCCAACCATGTCCTTATCAAGGCCAAGACAAAGGCCAGTGTCCAGAGTTTCTGTTCCATATTATAGTCCTTTTGAGCCAGCAAGTGACTACTCTGTGGTCTTAGTCCCATCCTGGTAGCTTAGCTTGTTCCAGGCTGCTCCAGTGGCAAAGTTCGCATGGCTGCTGGGGAGTTTAGTCCTTCTGGAGCCCATGCCATCTTCTGCGGGCCCAGTAGCTACCACATGGTCACGTGCTCCCAAGCTAGAGAGTGCATGAATAAACCGGTGATTGCATCACCAATTGGGCAAAAGAAGCTTCTTTGTTTCTTGGGACTATATTAGCTTGGATGGAGGGTGGACCAGGTGCTTTTTCAAAATGACCAGTGAACTTCCCAAGCTTCTGCAGGCTTTGAATGAGCCCACCTTCTAAACAATCTCTTTTTTCCCAGGCTACACCGACAGGCCTCTTTGGTCAAGCGCCTTCCCTGTGCCATTTTGACTTCTATGGTTCATGTGCCTGATCCCTGCCCCCCCCCCCCCCCGCCGCCTCCCCCACTGGCAGTCTGGCACTGGAAGGGGAAGGGAGGAGTGTTAATCTTCTTGGAGAAATGCTGTGGTTCCCTGGGGTGTGAAGCTGTAGCTTCCTGGCTAGCAAGCAGGTTTATGTTCCCCAGTTTGTTCAGCTCAATGTCTAGTTCCCTTTGTTCTCTTTGCTCTATATCTAGCTAAACACTGAAGGCAACAGTAGATCTGTTCTTAATTTTTTGATGACCCTCTATACTGTTTTCCAGAGTGGCTATGCTAGTTTATATTCCTCCATAAAAGTGTACGAGGGTTTCCTTTTCTCCACATCCTTACCAGCTTGTTATTTCTTATCTTTTTGGCAATAACCATCCTAACAGATGTAAGGTGATAACTCATTGTTATCTTGATTTGTGTTCTTTGATGATTACTGATGTTGAGTACCTGTTCATGTAACTGTTGGCCATTTGTATGTCTTCTTTGTAGCTAGACAAAAAATGTCAATTTAGGTCCTTTTCCTATTTTTAAATAGGATTATTTGATGTTTTTTTTTTTTTCTGCTATTGAGTTGTGTGAGTTCCTTTTACATTTTGGATAATAACCCCTTATCAGATAATGTGGTTTGCAAATATCTTCCCCCCATTACATAGTTTGCCTTTCCATTTTATTGATGGTTTCCTTTGCTGAGCAGAACTTTTAATTTTGATGTAGACCCTCCTGTGGGTTTATTTGTTTTGCTTGTGTTGCCTTTGCTTCTGGTGTCATAAAAAAAAATCATCACCAAAACCCGTGTGAAGGAGATTACCTTCTATGCTTTCTTCCAGGAGTTTTATGGTTTCAGACCTTATGTACAATTTTTAAATCCATTTTGAGTTAATGTTTATATACAGTATAAGGTCTGGTTTCTTTCTTTTATCTTTGAAAATTCATATTTTTTCCAACAAAATTTATTGAATGGAAGCCCTGTTGGCTGTGGGAGCCAGGTGATCCCGGGACCTGTCCCTTGTGCTGTGGGTATACAGGCTGGGGCACAGATGTGTGCACAAGCTATCTCCAGGACAAAGCCGCTGACTTAGAGCAGGCAAAAGGTAAAGGCAGGGGAGGTGTCTGCTGGCTCTTCTGTTTCTGGGAAGTATCCAATCCAGCCCTTAGGCGTATGCTAAATTGAAAGCCTGGCCCACAGGTAGTAGCTTTTAAAGTAGGCAGCTGTATTCCTATCAGGGAAATCATGGGAGATGGGCATTTTTACCTCTTCCCTCAGTGTTGGCCTTCAGAGCCAGTCTCTCTAGGGACCCATCCATCCTGCAGGTGGAAGTGAAAGAAGCTGGGGTGCCCAAGTGTGTACAAGCCCCTTTCAGGGAGATACAGGAGACTTGGAGTGGGCTAGCCCACTCTAACCCATAGATGTATGCTAAATGAGAAACCTGACCACCAGGCAGCAACTTTCAAAGTATGCAGATGGACCTTTTTTAGGGAAAGCCTGGGAGACAGGTGATTTTGCTTGATCCCTCTGCACTGATTCCTGGGGACGATAGCCTCACTCAGCAAGTGCTTCTGTGATCGGAATGGACTGCTCCTTTGTTTGCTGTGGTCTCATGGATCTCATGGACTCAAGGATCATTGGCTTTCACAGCTAGATTAGTTTGGGGCCCATCCTTCAAGTGAGAGTGGGAGTCTTAAAAGTTGGGGTGCTAAATGTGGGGTCTAAACCCGTTCATCATCAAGAAGAAGCTGGAAGTTGAGAACTCCCTCCTAACTGTATATGGCACTGTGCCAGCGGTAAAGTTTATGGTCAGAGTGTCTCTCAGCCTTTCCTACCCACTTTGATGGGGGTATTTTTTCATTCATTGGATGTATAAGAGCCGCTCAGTTAGTTTCTGAATTCATTTCAGAGGTAATTGCTCTGTGTGTTGTCATATACTTGGTGTGTCTCTGGGAAGAGGGGAGTTCAAAGCCTCCCATGTTGCCATCTTGGTTGATTCCCCGGCAAAATGTATATATTGAGGTTGCATTGCCAATCCATGAGTCACCATTTTCTAACATGTGAAACATAAAAGTTATATACTATCTTCTCATTTAGTATTTTCTAATGATCATCCAAACTGGTTGATCACAGTTTGCCACAATTCTAGGCATATTTCAAGGAATAAATAAAGTTACATGAAATAAAGTTACATGAAGCAATGAAGAGTTTGAATAGTCATACTTAAATGGACAGATGTTTTGTGATGCAGAGTTAAGATGGGAAACGTCATGAGTGTATTTGAGGACTCTCCCTCAGTTTGGTGCGTATGACTAGAGACTGAAGGAAAAGAGTGTTACTTCTCTATTTCAGCAATCAGCTGGAAACTCTTCCCTTTTCTCCCTTCCTGCCCAGTTCTTTCACCCCCCACCACATTCCAATGGGATTGTACTTCAAAAGGAAAATTTCATTATTTAAGCTGATCTTCTGGTCTGATTGTGAAGAATAAATAAATTTTAGTGAAATAATTGACCGAAGTTGTGAAATGAGAGTGTCCTTCACCAGGTGCAGCAACTGTGTGCACAGCACCCCCTGGTGGTCATACACTAGCTTTTCATTATGACAAGAGAGAAGACTAAGAAAAACAAGGTGTCCAGTTTGCAGTTTTGTTTTTTGAAACATTTTTGGCCCTATCCGATGTTCCTAATAGTAGCAGGTAATATGTGTTGAAACGACGAAGTAAGTAGCCTAAAATGTATTATTTACATTCTGGACAGAGAACTCAGTGGTGCTTGGGAAATATTTTACGTATATATTTATTTCATTAATTCTATCTCTAGAATTGTTCTGGAAAGAATTCAAGACCATATCCATTCAATACAACAAGATAAAAAGCAAGTTGTAAGGTAATCAGGGCAGCTAGAAAAATAAAGGGAATCAGTTTGAAAAAGGCATGAATTTCATATTAAGAGAAAGGAGAGGCACCTAGGTTATACCACCTCCAAAGGTAAAGAGCACTCCCAGTGTGTGGTTCAGGCTAGGTGATGCTGGCTGGGATTCTGTCAAGGGCCCAAAGATGTTGGGCGAGGAGCCGCATGAGATACCTGAGTGGAGCGTTTATTTAGGGATTATTGTGTGTCTATCACTGTCACTTCTTCTACTGGGGCGATATAAAAGAGCTTTAAGACTGGGTTCCTGCCCTGGAAAACTTTAAAACTTTTTTCCCGAAAATAAGATCAATATGCATGTAATAATTAGAGAATAATATAAAGTAGTCTGCCATTATATGTTAAGTTGTGAGGTATGAAGTATAAGGTCCTAGGGCATTTAGGAATAGTTCATTTTGTAGGATACTGAGATGTAGAAAAGGGAAGAGGAAAGAAGAGATCATGTCAGTTGGGGAAAATATCTTTGTGGGAATTCGGACACACTGCAGTATGCTGTGTGGGAAGGACTTTGGCTGAGATGAGGGAGTCAGGAAGAGTCTGGTGTGAAACTTCTTTGGTGGTTGGCCACAGCCTGGCAGTTCTCAAAGACGCATGAAACTCTGGTACAGGGCGTGTTGATGCTGAGATCCAAGTGGTTCTGATCTGTGATGGGGAGGTATGACTGGAACATCATAAGCATTAGAGCAGGGCTGGTGGGAAGGTCAGCCACAGACACCAAGGGACACCTGTCCAAAGGAGAGAGGAAAATGGGAACATCAATCATAGGGTGGGCGAACAGACCCAGCCAGAAAGACTGATGTCCACCAGTAATAAATTGGGTGGCCGTCTGGAAATGACATGAAATTGAAGGAAGCTGCCCCTCTAGGATGAGCTCTGTCATTTGAGCAGAGAAAGGGTTACAGTGCAAGGGTGAGTGAACTACAGCAGGTGCTCCCTGGGAGAGCTGGGTAAGTGTATGCTTGGGGCGGGGTCTAAAAATGACAGCCTATTAAAGGGCATATGTTAGCAATGAGCACAAGGGTCTGGTGAAAACAGGCCTTTCTAGGGTAATATAAAATATTATCTGTGATAATATTTTAAGGGCCGAGGAAAGAGAAAGAAAATCGAAGAAGAGAAATGAGATTAAGACAGAAAGGAGGTCAGGAAAAATGAAGAGGCTGTTAAGGTCAAGGGCAGTCTTGCCCCTGACCTTCCTTCTCTCTACTCCCACTGAAGCTTATTACCCCTTATTGTTCTGGCTTTCTACCCTGTTTTAACACTGAATTCTATTTTCCAATCACTTAATACAGGCTTAGAAGTGAATGGATTTCCACAGGGTCTTCCTTTTAAAGATTTCCCCCCAAATTTGAAATATCTGTCCTTTTAGAATGCTGTGGAGAAAGCTAGCATGCCTGTGATTGGAAGTGAAGACTTATCTGTGTCCAGCAGAATTCAGGAGACCAAGAGAAACTGAAAAAGAAGGGCTTTCTTTAATAGAAAACAGTGTTTTTGTCCTTTCCGTCCCACTTTATTCTCAGGAGCCCTTGGGTTGTTCCGTGAAATAAAGGGTAGGAACACTCATACCTTTCTATCTTTGCTTTTACTCAGGAACAGGTAGTTCTTCATTTAAATCTTTCAAAACTGTTATTTCTTTTGATTACTGTCATCTTCTTTCATACCTTTAGGTTGTCAACATCTCCATCAGGCAAACTTAGAGATAATCTACGGAAAACAGGAGAAAGGAGAGGAGGGGAGATAGGGTGATCATTGAGTACACAGTGTGTCACTGTTCTATTTGTTTGCTGAAAGGAAAGAGAGTAACATAAAACAGAAATATTTTTCATCTTGAAATATGTATCAATAGCTGGTAAATCCTATAAAATCTTAATTTCTGCTATAGATTATAAAGCAATTTTTAAGTCTGGAGATATAAACAAGAGCATCAGATTAAAAAAAATACGCACTTATAAAATATATCAAGCTCAGTTGGTTAGAGCATCCTCCTGATATGCTGAACTTGTAGGTTCAATCCCAGTCAGGGCACATATAAGAATCAACCAATGAATGCATAAATAAGTGGAATGAACAAATCTCTCTCTCTCTCTCTTTCTCTCTCTCTCTCTCTCTCTCTCTGTGTGTGTGTGTGTGTGTGTGTGTGTCCCTCCCCACTCCCTCTCTCACATCAATTTAAAAAATATCAAGTCAATAACAGATGTGCCTCCTATTCACATTCCCAGCCAGAGAAACCCAAGGTGCCGTGAATTGGATGAAAACTTGCGGCTAAACCATGCTTTGGCTTTCTTCTAGATGTGGTATAGGATTATCTTTCCTTGCGTTGTCTATCATTTTTGTGTATTCTTTCTACTTAGTCCCTTCACTTAGCTTACTTTTGTAATTTGAGGGTACATTGACTAAAATGTTAGCCATATTTAAAAGTCTAGTTAGTCTTCCGTTATTTGGACGTTGGGAATGTGAGATTCTTGATATTAAATTGGTAAATTAATACTTGGCAACCCATGGTTTGGGTGAATGAGCAAGGATTGTCTCAGTGACTGTTTTACGAACTGACAGAATTGAGGAAGGAGACTTTAGAAAGATCATAATCAAAAGGATTACCTTCCTCTGGGAGGAAGACTTTTTATAAGAAGAATCTTGAATTGCTGTTGTCTGAACTCTGGAAGAAAAAGTATTTCCTATCTACAAACATGAAGTGAGTTTTACTGTATAAATGCAGATTTAATATTCTTGAAAGTGCAAAATGCTCTCTATGTTATCTGTTGAGATACACTAAAAATAAAAATAAACACAAATAATGAGACATTCTAAATAAAACCAGGTAGGTAGGGAAGCAAAGCAATTTGAGAGAAATAAAATGAATCTTTCTTTGGGTTTTTAGGATCCATGAATAGTTATATTTATTTGTAGAAGAAAGGGAAAAGTGAATATATTTCTTCTGATTTTAAAACTAGTATTTTACTACTCATCTTTTCCACAGGGCCCATCTGAATGACCTTGAGAATATTGTGCCATTTCTTGGCATTGGCCTTCTGTATTCCTTAAGCGGTCCAGACCTCTCAACAGCCATCCTGCACTTCAGACTCTTCGTGGGAGCACGGATCTACCACACAATTGCATATCTGTTACCCCTCCCCCAGCCAAATCGTGCTCTGGCTTTTTTTGTTGGATATGGAGTTACTATTTCAATGGCTTACCAGTTGCTGACGAATAGATTGTACCTATGAGGAGAACCGTGCAACTCATCATGCAATTATTTTCTAAGAATTCTGCACTTCCAATTTACAATGAATACTTTTTTAAGATTTTAAGTGGGAGGGAACAGAGAAATTAAAATGGGAAAGCCTAGTCTGATTATTCACATCACCTGTATCCTTTATTCGTGTGTTATATTTGTGCTAGAAATTTAATGTAATACTTACATCTTTTGCCTTATTCTTGAAGTGCCTTGTTGTAAATTTTGATTGTAATTTGTAACATTCATTCACCATTTCATATTTTAAATCCATAAAAAGAGTGAGTGCATGTATGAGAAACCATTATTTCAATATTTCTGAAATAGGTATATAAAATAAAGAATTTAAAGAAAACTTTATCTGATTTTAGTTTTCTCAACTTGTATTTTCAAAAGTCTCAAACCTGTGGAAAAGTAGAAAAGTAATACAATGAACCTTTACATGTCTTCCATCTAGATTTACTAATTTTTAACATTTTGCCATATTTGCTTGAGCTGGATCACTCAATGTTTTTTCTGAACAACCTGAAGGTAAGTTACAGATATCAATACACTTCACTTGAAATAATTCACCACTGGTTTCCTACAAGCAAGACAATCTCTAAATAATCACAGCACCACTATCACACCCAAGAAATTTAATATTAATATAATAATATCAATAAATATATACCTTATATGTAAATTTCCCCAATTTTCTTAAAAATATCCTTTATGCTGGCACTGTGTTTTATTCAGGAATCATAAGAACCACCCAAGCGCTTTGTTATCATATCTATTCAGTTTCCCATAAAATAAAAGAGTTCTTTAACTTTTTTCTTCTTTGCTTTTTATAACCTCATTTTTTGAGGAGTACAGGCTGGTTGTCTCACAGAATGACCCTTCATTTGGCTTTGTTGGGGTGTTATTTTCTCAGTTTTAGAATCAGATCAAACATTTTTGGTGGTGTTGTATCTTTCATATTACAGCTCATCAGTAGGCACATGATGTCAGCTTGTTCCATTATTGGTGGTATTAGATTTGGTCAATTTAGTAAGGTATTATCAACCAGGTTTACCCATTATAAAGGTATCTTTTTATCTGGGTAATCAATTGATAAATTAGCAAATTTATAAAACCTATATTATTTAGGATATAGGTATATTATTCTTTCATATTAAATAAAGTAAAATCTTCTTAGCAGGTGAGGACATCTGTCTTTAAGATATACTGATTTGGCTTGGGCGTGTTGAAGAACATTGGTGGGACATGAAAATATTTCATCAAGAGGCTCCATAGTTTTAAAAAAGTTATCAATGGCAATGGGATGAGTTCCTCTGTTTTGAAGACTCAGAGACTTGCTCTTTCGGGGTACAGGTGTAATTAGGCACTGAGGGGTACTCATAAGAACCAAAATATAAATGAGACTGGAATATAAACAAGGATGGTGAGGAATTCACTGAAACTGAGCCTTGTAACTTCCACGGTCAGGTGGTCTGCATCCCAGGATGAGTCCATTCTGCCCCTGTGGTTAAGCTGCCCTGGAAGCTAGATTGTGACCAGAAAGGCTGTGTTGCTTTTCTATGAGGGAGCCCTGCCAAAGGAACCAAAGTGTCGCCATGAGTCAATGCTTTGCACATGTAGGGAGGCTTGCATGGCAAAAAACAAAACACAAATATGCTTGGTGAGTATGGGTTTGTACCAAAGAGAATTGGATAAGTCAAATGTTAAATGGCATAAGACTATGATAACCTGACACATCCATTTCAAGATAGAGGTGATCTCATGAATGGGACGAAAATACTCATCGCCCATTGTCCATGGCACCATGCCTTCATCTCCACACTTGGAAGAGCCTTGCAAAGGGGACTGGCAAGACCACAATGACACAGACCCCCTCGCCACTGTGCATGCTTTAGATAGACGCAGTCAGTACTTAACTTTATATTCTTTTTCTCTGTCCCCTTTTTCTATAATCTCTCTTCTGATGGAACATTCTTCATTTCACCACATTAAAACACAAAGCGTCTACCTCCTGGGTCTTATTAACTTGGTTGCTAGTAACTTGGCATGTTTATGATGTGCTCAGCTGGGAGGTTGACCATCAAAGAATTATATAACCTCTGGTTCCTTCTTATCAGGGGAACCTGAAGAAACACCTAAGCACTACTAACAGCTAGCTACCTTTCTACTCTAATATTCAGTGATTGTAAAGCCAGGTATTTCTCCAGGCAGTGAGAAAGGCATGGAGTTTCTTGTGCCCTCACCATGAAAGTTTAATGCAGAGACAGACTTAAGCCTAGGGAATCCTGCATGGGTTCTACAAACCACCTGAGGATTCTTCTTTATAAATACCAAAAAAACCCCAGTTTTTTGAGTTGCATGGTTGTATCACACTGAGTCTCCCTGGAGGCAGATGGTGAGCAGTGAGGCAATTTGCCTTGGGAGTCTCTACGATCCGTTTAGAAACAGCAGCACAAAAATCCTATGATCATCTCTCTTATGCCAGCCTGAAATGTCAGCCCTGTGGGAAGCTGATCGGTGTCCCTGCTATCAGCAGAGGAAGCACCTCTATATTCGTACCTTTCAGAGTATTTTATTCACTACATATCCTATGTAAACTGTTGGATCTGACAAGGAGGAGTTGTCGAAGGCAGACTGCTGGGAAGGGGCCATGTTGGCTTGAATTTGGCACCAATCTCTCACACTTGACAGCTCAAGTACAAAATTGGGGATGAGCTATAGGACCTGTGAGCCTCCTCAGTCAGTGAGCGCAGACCCTAAGTCACATTTAACTCAGAAAACCCTGACAGCCCTGCATGAAACAGGAGCAGTAAAACATGGAGAAAGGAGCTGTGCGCAAGAATGGGCCATTTAAATTATTTCCTTTTACCAGAGTTTTGGAAAATATGAACCAGGGCAATATAGACTATGATACAGCACAAGGATATCTGTGTCAGCAGCTCAAAGAAAAGAATCCAAACTTTAAGCCAGAGTGACATGATTTTTAAAGACTAAAAGCTAAGTGGGCAATCGGTGGAAAGTTAGCTGTAGCTGCACAAAATTCTTCATCTATTAGCCTAAATGATAACAAATCCACCTAAAATAGAGAGAAAAATAAAGGACTGAAACTGTTTTTGTGTAGTAGAATCCTGGACTTTGGAGTTTGTTTGTTTTTTTTTAAAGATTTTATTTATTATTTATTTTTAGAGAGGGAAGGGAAGGGGAGAGAGAGAGAAAGAAACATGAATGTGTGGTTGCTGGGGGCTGTGGCCTGCAACCCAGGCATGTGCCTTGACTGGGAATCGAATCTGCGATGCCTGGTTCGCAGCTCGCGCTCAATCCACTGAGCTACGCCAGCCAGGGTGACTTTGGAGTTTTAACTGACACTTTCTGGCTGACTGAGAGAATGACCAAGGCATTTAACCTCTTTAAACCCCATCATTTATTCTAAAATGGCAAAATTAATAGTTTACCTACTGTATTAATAATCTTTGGCCACACCAATTCCGTGGAGCAATCACCCATAACTCAGTGGCTTTGCAAATGATTCTGCAAGGTTGAGCTGGTGTTGGCTGGGTTTGTGCATGTGCCTGCTGAAAGCTACAGGTTGGCCAGGGAGTGCTGCTGGATGTGACCAGCTGCCTCACACAGCTGGAAATTGGCTGGAGCTTGGCTGGTGCTCAATGGCCTCGACTAGTATTACTGAGGCAACTCAACTCTATGTGTGTCAGTCTTAGTACATGGCTCAGGAAACTGTGGCTCATCAACCAAATCCAGCCCATGGGCTGTTTTTATAAATAACATTTTACTGGAATGCAGTTGTGATTATTCATTTTCATATCTTATAGGGTTACTTTTGTGTCACAATGGCAGAGTTGAGTAGTTGAATAGTTGCAATAGACAACACTTGGCCCACAAAACCAAAAAGATGTGCTATTTGGTCTTTCACAGAAAATGTTTGCTGACTCTAGTTCCAGTAGTCTAGCTTCCATGTGTTATGGTCATGAATGAGTAAGAAAGAAAATGGAAATGCGTAAGCACCTCCTGAAGATTCTGCATTTGTCACATATATTAAGAAGTTATTGCCAAAAGAAGTCATATCTATGACTGCAGAAGTAAAATGCTGTGGAATAGACTCCACCTCGTTAGTGAGGAAAACTGCACAGTCACAATGCACAGGGGCATGGATGCATGGAGAGATGAAGAATTTCAGCTGTTCATGTAATAATCTATGGTCCTGCCCACTTTATGGAGTTGTTACGAGGTTTAATCAAGACATACGTAGAACATCTTATAATCTCTACAACATTGTGCGGTTAAAACAGCATTCATTCTAATGTGTTATAATTTTATCAGATTAGTATTAATACATCCTCAGTATGATAGCAATAGTTACAACTAAATAAAAAATGTGACCCTGGGTTTGTGAACTTGGCCTTCTCCCTTTCATTTGCATTGTGCTGCCTTAGGGAGACAGATGGAACGGGGAACAAATATTTGGATAGCTTTATTGCCTTTGTAATCAAGTTGGTTCCCAAACTGTGCCCCGTCTGTTCTTTTGAGATTATTATCTGCACCCTGCTCCCAACCAAGTGTTTCATAAAAATCAGTCAATTTCTGACTACTGGCGTATTAAATGTAAGACAGATAATATTATGACTGGCCCAAATGTAAAATTTTTGTTAGTATTTGCTGAAATAATTGTATGTTATCTTTCTATGGGTTGTATTAATCATGAAAATAAGGGCTTTGCTAAATCCTTGTCTGAGCTTCTAAGTATGTAAACTTGATAACTAATAGAATATAATTTATTGTTTCTTTATAACTCACCTTCCATGGCAATATGGTTGGACTGAGAACCAAGAATTGGTCTACGCCAGCTCTGCCACCAACTTATATGAGACACACAGGCAAACCACTTACTTTTGCTCTCTCCATGCCCTTACATTGAAAGTGGATTGAATCAGAAAAATGTTTGAAATATCCTGTAACTCTAAAAATTCTGTTTGCCTGGAGGTAGGTGTAAGTCACCTCTTTTCCAGTGATAAAATATGAGTAACAAGGTATGGGAATAATTATAATAGAAAGTGTGTGGCTATTAATGAGGTCAAACCTAAGTTTGTGAGGTTGAAACACTTCCTGGCTTATGTCTTAGAATGATAATCTTTATTATGTTTAAAAAAGATTTTATTAATTTATTTTTTAGAGAGAGGGGAAAAGAGGGAGAAAGAGAGGAAGAGAAACATCAATGTGTGTTTGCCTCTTGTACCACCTCCCTACCCGCTTCCTCCCATACCAGGGACCCAGACTGCAACCCAGGCATGTGCCCTTACTGTGAATTGAACTGGTGACTCTTTGGTTAGTGGGTCAGCA